GAGGGACAGACTGACGGACAGGCGCGGCGTGGCTGGTAAGGGTGAGAATTCGTCCCCAGCTTGGTTGCTCTTCGCTGTCCCGCAGAACCACCTCGGGGCACCCGAAGACGCCCGGCCTGGGTCGCGATGCCCCCAGCTGGGTCGGGTGTCCGCCCCTCCCCCACAAGTGTACCAGGGTTGGGGCCGTGTCACCCCCTCCGTAGCCGCGCCGCACCCCTTCATTCCCCTAACCAGGCGGGGTGCTCTCCTCGCTCCTCCCGGGCGCCCTGCAGAGGGCGGGGCGCGCCTCTCCAGCTCTCCAAGTTTCCCGGGGCGGTGGAGGGGTCCGGTGCGTGCTGGTAACCCGGTGGCGCGCCCTGCCGAGCCTACTCCGGACGCCGGGAGTGCAGTTCTCCCTGCCCCAGGCCCTACCTAGACTTCTGGTCGGGCACAAGTGCTTCCCGGCCAAGCTTCTGCCAGTGCTTTACCCTCGCCCTCCCTTCCAGGCCGGGATGGTGGCGGACTGCGCAGGATAGCGGCGGCCATGTGGAGCTGACAATCAGCGTGCGTACACTGCGAGCGCACCGGAGCTTGGACCAGGTGGACTCGGGGGCAGGCAGCACGGCCCCGGTGCTGGAGATGGCAGCGGAAGGCTTGGGTTGGCTTCTGGTCCCGCTGCACCAGCTGGTTTCCTGGGTGGCTGCCGGGGCCATGGTCTTCGGAGGGGTGGTACCGTACATCCCTCAGTACAGGGACATCCGGAGGACTCAGAACGCCGACGGCTTCTCCACCCACGTGTGCCTGGTGCTACTGGTGGCCAATATTTTACGGATACTCTTCTGGTAAGTTGGAGTCTTCCCTCCCTGGAGGCGCTGCAGAGAGACGGCTTTTCTTTGGTTTTCAGGTGGCGGCAAGTGGTGCAGTGGAAGCTGTCTTCTTCCTCCAAAGAACCTGATGCGGAGAAGGCACCCCTGCAGTGGTGGGTAGTGTGGTCAGCGATCTTCTTAGCTGCATCTTTTCCTGGAAGAGTGACAGGGCTGGAGAGGAGACTCTCAAATATTACCCCCGGATCTGCTCCTTCATTTAATGGCCCCTTGCTTTCATGTGTTGCATCCTGGGGCCTCTGTGTGGGCACCGTCCCTAGGTCCCTGCGTTTGCTTTCCTGTGTGTGGAGTGGGATATGAGGGTGAGGAAACAAAGTGAGTTAGTACGGGGAGCAGGAAAGGCTCTTGGTGCCTGTGGGAGGGGCTTCTGCAAGCCTTTCTCCCTGCCTCCTTGTGTTTTGTTTCTTCTTAGCTAAGAAGTCAGACTTCCTGATGAGACTTAAGTGGAGACTGTTTTTCTTGCTCCTCTCAGACCAACTTCCTCTTATTTTGTTTGCATTCTGCTGAGGAAGCTGAATTTAATTTTAACAGTTGTTGAAACCATACATACTCCAGAGAGTGAATTTTCAGAGGAAATAAAGATCTCATAACTACATGATAAGGTCAAAAATGTCTGGAATTTTCCTTTTGGCCAATCCCAGGACTTCTATGCACATAGGAAGGCTTTGTAATTTTCATGAAGTTGGTCATCTGCAGAGGCCAGGGAGAAGGGCTCCAAGGTGGCTGAGCTCTGCTTTTCACTTTTTGTTCACTGTTGGAATCGTCGTGCTTTCTCTGTCTCTCTGTCTCTCT